GTCAGTGCTTGAAATAATAACTACTGTGCCCTCTAGTGATAGCACAAAGGGAACTACAACCACCAAAGAGCATTAATCATAATTGTGGTTACTGCGTCATACCACTACAGGGCAGAGCTAAGGTTGTTTGGGTGTCTTAACTGTGCATTTCTTATCTTAGTACTTTTGGGTTTCTTTTAAGTTTAACCTTAATTGTGAATAATGCTAAGATTTATAATGCTTGGTTTTGGGATAATTACAGCATCTCTGCAATGTTATTTACCCTTAACTAATAGATACATTCTCAACCTTGATTCTATTTTAACATAGTTTTTTGTCTGTGAATGATATAGGAGATCTCAAACTGCTTCATTTTGCAGACCACTTTGTGAAAAACCCAGCTTCCCTCCCACCACCTGTCCCCCACTGTTTCTTTCTCAAAATATTTCAGTGTGCTGGCCACCAGGAAGGACCCTTCAGGCTACAGCTTGACCATTTAGAGTCAAGTGCTGGTCCTGTTGAAGTCACTGGTAAAAGTCCCAGCAGCCTCAATAGGACCAGCATTTGGCCCTTAGTGGAGGGATGTCCAACAAAGCACCAAAAAGTGATGTAGTGACGGCTTCTAAGGAACTCAAGAATAGTATCAGCTACATTTACTGTTAGTAAAAATAGATACCCAGGACTAGAATACTTGCTGATGCATGCATTTTCCCTGTTGAACAGAAATTTCTTGTTGGTTCAATTCAAGCAGTAAAAACTGGCAGTTACAGAGAGAGGATGACAAATGTTCAAACTGACAGCTAAATATGATCCCTTTAAGAATCTTGAAATGATTATATTTGGCCCTCTGGCTGCACTTTGGGTGTTCCTGGTTTAGGGCCCATTTACATGGTAGATATTACCACTTTTAATCACTGCTAAACACGTGGTATTGCCCTGACCATGTTATAACACATTTTGATCTTGCCTGTGTTGATAAGACCAAAACAAGTTATAATCAGTTATAACCCTGCCCTTTGTCTGATCTCCCATTGTGACAGGTGCTGGTATTCCTCTGTGAACTGCTGCAATCAACTTTATCTCCATCCCTCAGCAGCATCAGAAAAGTCCTTCTAAAGACACTGCAGGCCATAACTCTTTCCCAACCCTCCTAACTGCCTCATACACACATGTAATAAGAGGACAGAAAGCTTCAGAGCCTTGCATGAGAGAGCCCTCAGGGCAGAACAGCAGTTGGCCAGTATCACCTTTTGAGTTCTCTCAGAAAAAAGGAACTTGAAACCAGTGGGGGAATGCTGGCAGCATTACTGTACCTGATGCGGGGAGAGATGCTGGATTATTTTCCTTAACCCAGGGGAGACACATTGTAATGAGAAGGGAAGCTTGTGCTGTCATGACCTCTGCTGTTGGGTTTGCCACCTTTTGGGGGTTTGCATTCCCAAACATAGTTGTTCTGGGATCATTATGTCCAGTGATGAGCTGCCAAAATCTTAACAACGGGTTCCCTCCTCACCCCATGAGGGGGTCGTTGCCCACCCCGGGACTCCTGCCCCATCCAACCCCCCCCCCACATTTCTTGATGCCCCCCCAGGACCCCTGCCCCATCCACCCCTCTCCCCTGTCCCCTGACTGCCCCCAGAACCGGGCAGGAGGGTCTCGTGGGCCATCGTAATGGGTGCCCGACCTACCCCTAAGAGCCAGAGGCACCTGCCGGGGGACAAGGTGGGGAGTCCTGGTGGTGCTCACCTGCGGCAGCTCCCAGGAAGCATCCGGCAGGTCCGTCTGGCTCATGGGGTAGGGGAGCATAACTGGGGGGGAGCAGGGGGATCAGCTGCTCCCCCCACTGATCACATCAAAAGTGGCGCCTTAGGCGCCGATTCCATGGGTGCTCTGGGGCTGGAGTACCCCCACCGGCAGCTCCCTGCCCTGCGCCTGGCCCCAGCTCACCTCACCTCCACTCCGCCTCTGCCCCTGAATGCACTGCCCCGCTCTGCTTCTCCACGTCCTCCCCCCCACCCGGCTTCCCACGAATCAGCTGTTCAGCGGGAAGCCTGGGAGGGCTGAGAAGCAGGTGGCGGTTTCCCGCTCAGGCTGAGGGTGGCGGAGGTGAGCTGGGGCAGGGAGCGGTTCCCCTTTGCGCCTCCTGGGTTACCGGCTGCGGCACGGGCGGCCCTCCTCGCGACCCCCTCCGTGCCCCAGTTCACCTCCACCTCCCTGGGCCTGAGTGCGAAGCTGCAGCCTGGTTCTCAGTCTGCCCCACCTTCCCGCACGAACAGCTGATTTGCAGGATGCCGGGGGTGGGGCAGAGAAGCAGAGAAGGGGAGGAGGCGGAGCGGAGGTGAGCTGGGGCTGGGGCGGGGAGCTGCCACACCATAGAGCACCCATGGAGTTGGCGCCTAAGGCACCATTTTTGGCTGGTTAAATTTAGAAGCCCTTTTAGATTTGGTTCTCCCTCGCAGAACAACTAGTTCTAAAAGGGCTTCTAAATTTAACAACCGGTTCTAGTGAACCGGTGTGAACCGGCTCCAGCTCACCACTGATTACGTTGTAACAGCACAACATAAATCAATGAGATGATGATGTAAAATTTCTCATACAATAGAGGGAACACACTGGTGAAATCCACTAAGCCTGTTGAGTGCTGCAACAGTGAAACTGGCTGATTCCACAGTTCAGGATGATAATGAAATTAGTTGATCCCACCATGAAATTGGCTAGAGGTAGAATCCAGCCAAACCTAGACAGCCAGAGTGATGAAATTGACTATCACCATATACTTAGTTAGGTATTATTGTTTTATTCTTCTTCTGTGTTTGTACAGCACCTGGCACAATATGGTCCTGGTCCATGAGTGGGTGCTATGGTAATACACATAACAACAACATAGTAACTGACCAATCGTAGGGGCTTCTTGGTAGAATAGACGGATCCCAGACTTATGCCATTAAAATTGGTAGAGCTGGTAAGGGTCGTAATGAGGAAATTGGCTAATTCTAAACAGGGATTTGTCAGTAGATTTACCTGAAGGGGTAAAGAGATGAGCAACAAAAATTATTAGATGTACGGAAAGACTTCCATATGAAGAGAGACTGAAAAGACTGAACTGTTTAGAGAAGAGATGAATAAGAGGGAATATGACAAAAAGTATACACACTAACGAAGGGCATAAAGAAGGTAAATGAAGTGCTTCTATTAAACTTTTCTCTAAACAAGAATAAGGGGTTATTCAATAAAACTACGCTTTTAGGATTAGAGTTTTATTGGTGAATGTTGGTAAACACTGATTTCACTGTACACACATAAACTTATGAAAAAATATTCTTATCGATGATAGAAATTTACAGTTAGGCAAAATAAGAAAAATCCTGCTTGAGAACTTAGTAGAGTCAGACCTTCATGTGTATAAAACATGTTTTAATGTCAACGTTATCAGGGCTCATTTAAAGATATTTACTTTCTACATTTTGCCATATGATATTGACAATTTGTTTTAAGAGTTTATAAAACTTTTAACTTTTTGAATCTCAGCATTTACTGTCATTAATTATTGTCTGCCCCTTCCATGATTTCCTACAACTGTGAAAATGTAAATAGATAAAAATAAAAAAGCTTAAAACCAATAATTCTACACAACACAAAAAATTAATCTAAAAATATGCTTTAAATATGCTTAAAAATAAACATTGATATTATCTGTCAAAATTAAAATAAAAATCAGATTCTGCCAAGCCTAGAGAGAAAGAATACATTTAAACCTGGCAAAAAGACGACCTTTTCAGGTTTAAAAATTTGTATTAAGATGATGTGTAAAAAAAAAAGTAAACAGTGCAGAGTTTAAGTGTAGGAGTGTCTGGTTATCAGGGAATAAAGTACAGATTATGAAGGGGTGCGAAATTCAGTTTAAGATTGGATGGCATAAGGAATACATAATCTGCAATATCCCTGATTGGGGGTAAAAGCTTAAAGGGTCAAAGTACAGACATTGAGATATGAGGGTATGTTGTTCATATAATGGCTATGTTCAGGTGTGGAGTATAATAAGGGGATACGATGATGAGACTGGATTGACCCTCATTTGGTGAGATTTAATGTTTAGTGAGTTTACGGTTCCAGTTCATATGGTCCAACAAACAAAGTCTCTCAGTCCCTTTCTCATAGTCGATGCATGACGTCGCTCTGGCTCACATCTCCTGGTACTGTCGGTGGCCGGTGATGTGTGCGGTGTAGATGTCCCTGGGCCATCATATGGTGTCAGAGACCATGAGGCGCCACATGAGCAGGGCATAGCGTCGACCAATCCTGCAGGTCTGCAGCACATGCTCGTTGCAGGGGTCCCAGGCGCCAAGGGCTCTGACAATCAGGGCATCCATCTGCACCTCCTAGCCCTTCGCTCTCAGGGTGTCGGCCAGGGGAGTGTCACACAATACACAATTAACCTGTGGAACTCACTGTCACTGGGCAACACTGAGCTAATGTGTTAAACAGAATTCAAAAAAAGACCAGAGGTAATGAGACCATCAGTGGTTATAGCGGAGAGAATACTTTTCTTTTAGAAGGCTGCTAAACTAAACCCATCACTAAGTGGCAGAGGTTAGGAAGAGATTTCCCTTCGTGCCCAGCACAGGGTTTCTGTGCCCTCCCCTGGGCGACCGGTACGTGGCCCGTCAGACGCAGGGCACGAGCCCGGGCGCCGCAGCCCGAACCTCCCCAGCCATGCCTGTGGCCCCGCCCGGGGTGCTGGTGGGGTGGGCCGGGGACCCGCAGTGGCTGTAACACGCCTTAGGGGCCAGGCATGGCGCTCCAAGCCCCCACCTCCAGCCCCACAACCGGCCAGCCAGAGGGCCAACCCTCATTGGAAGAGAGTCGCTTCTGTTCTGGCCAATTGCAACCGACCTGGAGGAGGGGAAAGTTTGTGATTGGCTGCAGTATTGGGACCTTTCCCCAATAGCAAGATCACTTTCGATATCCCCGCCTTAAAGGGGCAGGGCAGCGTCTTCCATTTGTCAGAGGTTTGATGGGTGGTTGAGGGAGCTCATACGCGTGTGATGGGCTGAGCTCGCTCCGCGCAGATGCGGAACCTCATCGTCGTGGTGCCTGCTGCCCGCCCGGACCTGTTTAGCAGCGTTCCCATTGGCTCTGTGCGCTGCCGAAGCGGGCCCCCTCCCCTCCCCTCCCCCGGTCGGAGCGTCGCGGCCATGGGGGCCCAGGCGATGCTCAAGACCCTGCTTTACACCGTCAACTCCCTGCTGCAGCGGCGCAGATACCGCGCGGCGCTGGCCGTGCTCAAGGGCTTCCGGAACGGAGCGGTGTAAGCGGGGTCACCCTTGTACCTAGTGCCGTCCCATGGTGCGGGGCCCAGCTCCCCTCCCCCGGCTGCGCCTGTGTGTGTGTGGGGGGGGACTCTCCCCTCCAGGCCCTGCTCCCCTCCCCCGGGCTGTGCCTGTGTGTGTGTGTGTGGGGGGGGGGGGGACTCTCCCCTCCAGGCCCTGCTCCCCTCCCCCGGGCTGTGCCGTGTGTGTGGGGGGGGGGGGACTCTCCCCTCCAGGCCCTGCTCCCCTCCCCCGGGCTGCGCCTGTGTGTGTGGGGGGGACTCTTCCCTCCAGGCCCTGCTCCCCTCCCCGGGCTGGGCTGTGTGTGTGTGGGGGGGGGGGACTCTTCCCTCCAGGCCCTGCTCCCCTCCCCCGGGCTGCGCCTGTGTGTGGGGGGGGGGACTCTCCCCTCCAGGCCCTGCTCCCCTCCCCCGGGCTGTGCCTGTGGGGCGGGGGGGCTCTCTCCTCCAGTCTCTTCCCTTCCCCCCCCCCCCGTGCTATGGGGGTCCTTCTTTTCTCCAGGCCCTCCCCCCTGGGCTGTGCCTGTGCGGGGCTCTCCTCTCCAGGCTTTGCTAACCCGTGCCCAGCTGTGCCTGGTGGGGAGGAGGCTCTCCTCCAGGCTCTCCTCGACTGTCTTCTCAGGCCGCGCACATGTGTGTGTGTGTACTTGTGAGGTGGGAGGGGGTTTTCTCCCCAGGCCCATACCCAGGGTTCCCTAGGATTGTCCCTTGCCCCACCAGAGTCCACTGCGGTACAGGCGACCTCCCTCGGAGGAAGCATGCATTTCAGGGAGCAGCTTCTGTAACTTAATTTGAGGAGCTCTTTACAGCTTATTCCAGCAGTGCTTCAAGAAAGGTGGATTACAAAGGGTCACAGACCTAGCAAAAAATAAAATAAAGTCAAGCTGTCCTTGTGGGGTGCACTTTAAGCACAGTCCTATCAAAATTGCTGCTCCCAGGTTATGACAGACCCACTCACACATTTTTTGGATAATTTTAAGAACTGTATTCTGATATGTTAAAAGAAAAGGAGTACTTGTGGCACCTTAGAGAGCTTATGTTCAAATAAATGTGTTAGTCTCTAAGGTGCCACAACACATTTATTTGAGCATAAGCTCTCTAAGGTGCCACAAGTACTCCTTTTTCTTTTTGCGAATACAGACTAACAGTAGGGCAATTCTTTTTGCCCCTTGGAAAAGCATTTATAATCTGTTTGTTTCTTAGCTGATACCTTTCAGAGGCGTTCTAGTTGCATTCACTTGAGCTGTGAATAAAGACCATACATTGTACAGATGTTTAAAAAATACTCCAAAGAAGGGCTTAATTTCTAAAAGCAGGGTCGTACCTGCTTCTGTTGACTTCAGTGGAAGTAGAATTAGGCCTTTTATCTATATTGAGGGAAGAAAACATAAACTTTGGTCTTGTTGGCATGGTGCTGGCAAAATGCACCCAAAGGCTGTGATTTGTGAAGTGCACTAATGTGTTGTGCTCTAAGGGCCCTGTGTGAACCTGCTGGTGCACTCTAAAAAGTACTTTGGTTGCTTTAATGACCTGTTGGTGCACTTTACAAATCACACCACCCTGGTGTGTTTTGCCGGGCCATGTAGGCAAGCCCTAGTTGCCAGCTCCCACTTGTCTGTAGTAACTGAGTGGGTGGGGGAGTCATGGTCAGGTAGCCAGAGATTCAGTCCAAACTTGTCAGAGTATGGCAAGCTAGTTATTAAAGCAGTGAAGAGGAGGTGGGTGTGGGGGAGATTTAAACGTATACTAACATACTGTTTTTAATTTTCTCCCTTTAAGTTACTGATACTTTCCCTGTTTTAAGTCTATCTAAATAAAAAACAATGTTTTCAAACATGAATGCCTAAAGTTAGGCAATTAAAACCATATTAAAGCACCTGAGTTTCTGAGGTGTTGAGCACTCATAGCTCCCATTGGTTTCAGAAGGCGCTCTGGGTGATCATCGTTTCTGAAAATCAGGCTACATGTTCAGGTAGTTAATTTTAGGCTGCAGAGTTTAAAATCTTTGTCCACACCCCCATACGCAGACACTTTGGAGGATTTTTTAATCTGGGGGAAATAAATTCAAATTAAGGGGGAAAACAGTGCAATCCTAGAAGCTGTAAGAAACTGCAGAGAGGACTGAAAGAAGTTTATTTCGTGACTCATGTTTTTGCTGCAATAATTTAAAATTGTTCAAATCTTAGACCATAAAGCCCAACTCCATCATCTGCCAAGATTTAAACTTGGAGCTCGAGAATAATAGGAGGAGAAGAAAAATATCAGATGAATTCTGTGGCCTGATGAATGTTTTCTCTCTGCAGGTTTGAGGTTTAGTATTCCAAAATCAACAAGCAGAGAGCTGTGTAGGATTGTGAAATGAAGTTACATTTTGGTTAAAACATGGATGTGTAGAAGGCCCATTGATCCACTTTTGAATTGCATCATTTGGAATAGGATAAACTGAATACTTAGCTGTATAGCTCTGAGCACTTAATAAAGATAACTAGCACTATGAATGATGAACAGAGCCCTGAAAATCCACGGATATCCGCTTTATATCTGCAGATATTCATGGACCATTTTTGCGGATCGCTGATGGATTTGGATCCAGAGTTTACATCTCAAGCCCTGATGCATTCATGGCCTATTTTTTTTGTAAAGGTGCTAATGCCCTTTCAAGTGCTCAGAGCTAGCATTTCTTTATTTACTTCAGCTGAGGTTGTTTGGTTTTATTCCCATTTGGAATGTGTTAGGTTTAATTGCCTTCATTATTTTTAAGTTACAGTCTATTAGCCTGTGGCTATTTGGCTGTAAATACCATATAAATAAAAAATAAAGCTACCAACCCATTGATTGAATTATCAGGCCATGTATTGAAATTGACTTAAGCTGATCAACCAATGACTTGTGGTTTATTTCCACTATAATATAAGGATTAAAAGATCAATAGTTGGCTTACAGTAATAAAAAGCCCTCTGAAAACATTGTGTGTATGCATATAATAATTTTTCTCTTGCAGCTATGGAGCAAAGATCCGTGCCCCCCATGCTCTGGTGATGACCTTTCTCTTCAAGAGTGGAAGGTACAGACATTAGCTCTTCCTTTCTGGCATTCTCTGTAAGGATGAGAGCATGCTACAGTCATCCATTTTTTAAAAGTGAACTCTTTGAAAACACCAGACCTGTTCAGATCAAATGCTTGTTTTCCTAACTAAATGGGAAAATCTCACAATGTGACTTTTTAAAAATGCAGATGACAAGCAGAATGCAGCCTGTTGTTTCAGAGATTCAGGAAGCTGATATCTCACCTCTGAGCTAGGCCTTGGTTATACAGTATTGGGGATTTTTCCCAGAGGGCCAGCCACCAGTACAACTAGGGCAGACAAGGAGAACTGCCGTTAGTCCCAGTGGGACTTACCTTGTTTCAAGCAGGGTTAAACTGCACCAGTGCAAATTGTGTAGACAAGGAAAGCCCCCGGGTGGTTTTGCTGATGCAGCTGCTCCAGTGGCTGGCTGTCAATTTCTGGAACGATGATAAATCATCAGTGTACACACAGACCTCGACTGGATTCTGATCAGTGACCTAGCAGTGAAATGAGCCATCCTCACAGCTTTGTTTTTGTTGAGCCTATTCAGAAAAGAAAAGTATTGCAGTAGTGTCTACGGCCTAACCAAGAATAGGCCCCATTGTGCCAGGTGCTGTACGCACAGAGGTAGAATGTTCTTGACCCAAAAACCTTAGTCTAAGTAGACAAGGTACCAGCAGAGTGAACAGTGTGATGGCCACGTTATTGCTTTACTAACGTTTGTTTGTTCCTTTGCTCAGTTTAAGAGAGAAACTGAAAGCGATTGCTCAGGCCACTTATACTCATTCCCGAAACCTGGCGTATTTTGTGTTCACTTACAAGGGGCTGATGGCGCTGCAATCCCGACTACAGGGAAAGAACTTTCAGTTGCACTCCTTCGTAGCAGCCTGTGTTGGAGGCTGGTTAGTGTTTGGTGAAAACAATCATATCAACAGCCAGGTAAACAAATGTATTTGTGGAGTTTTATCTTTCTGACCTTGCCCAAAAAACATGTTGTGTACCAGCTGGTTTGACTAGGATTTAAAAAACAAAAAAGGACTGATGCTGTAAGTGATGCTCTAATGTGATATGGCCACCTTTCATATTTAGCTTGTTTACTGTCAAAGCCTAGAGGAAAATAGTTTGCATCAGTGGGTAGTGCACACAGCATTGGGAGCCTTGTGACCTGCCTTGTATTTCTAGTTCTGCCACTGACTCGTGGGATAGCCTTGGGAAAGCCACGCCGGCCTGTTCCACGCATAGACTTGCACTGGTTTAACTGAAGTTGTGATTTGAAACTGATATAGTTGAACTGCCACAGAACTCTCTTTGGACACACTTAATTTGATTTAAACTTGGCTTATATTTGTTTAACTGACGTAGTAAAATGTACAGTTTCAGGTTATACCAATATAAATGATATGAAACTGATATAAGTGTGCCCATGCAGTTTATCTAAATTGGATTTTAAAATGAAGATGCAGAGCCAATTGACTGAGCTCTTGGAAAGTTGATTTCACTCCACCTTGTGAAGTGTATTGGCAACGCAGCATCTACTGCCAATACAACTGATCTTCCAAGTGATAGCATGTGGTACCAGATGAAACCTATTGCTCAGCAGAACTAGAGTGCCAATGAACAAAGCAGGACAGTAATCATGTTAGGAGGATACAAACACACACTACAATGTTGAAGGCAATTATATAGTAAACTATGGTCAGATATTAACTTTTTCTATGTCTTTAATTTCCAAGTTGCTTGATTTGGTCAGATTTGCTAGCCATGTAACTAGGCTAATATTCCTTGGGTTTTCTCTTTATGTAGATAAACATGTACCTGCTGTCTCGTATTCTGTTTGGCTTGTCCCGACTGGCAGTGGAGAAGGGTTATATCCCAGAACCCAAGCAGGACCCTTTCCCGATCTTTGCTGCTGTGACTTGGGGGATTGTTCTGTGGCTCTTTGAATATCATCGGCACACTCTCCAACCCTCTCTGCAATCTTCCATGACTTACCTGTATGACGACAGTAACGTATGGCACGACATTTCTGACTTCCTTATTTATAACAAAAGCAACGCTCAAAAGTAATTTGCTAATCCCCAGCGATCTTTGAATAATGGCACATTCCAGCAACAATGAGGAAAGGATTTTCTGCTGCCCTTGATTAACGCACTTTTTATTATTAGGATCTGTCCAACAAATTTCCCTCTTGTGTCTTGGCCAAAATGTTGTGAATAACCTAATGATCTTTTCTTGGCTCTCTATTGGCCACACCGGGACTCCACAGAAACCTGTCCCAGTGCCACAACAAGAGCAAAATGTTCCTGGATTAATTTGATTTCAAAAATTCTTTTCTACAAGAGACATTATGTTCCCCACATTGTAATAGTTAATTCTTTTAAAGAATGCACTGATTTTAAACCTTGACGGCTCGAAAGTAAACTGTGACTATAGTTTATATGATACTGAAACAAAATATGCAGTAGGGGACTAATGGAATGCTCACGTGCTAGAAATGCCTCTCACAACCACTGTGTTAGCAGTGGAAGGAATGCAGTGATTTCCAGCCATACCTCTCTATATGTTGGGTCTTTTCTGAGCTGATATATTTATCTGTCATCTGCTGTGTCATGTCAGAAGGTCCTGATTTCTGTGAAGCATTGGAGATCCAGACTAAACAAGCTGTGTTTCTTCAGTGAGTTTTCTGTGCATTTTGCCCCCATGTAGATAATAGGATGTTTGCATTTAAAAGCATTTGGCTTCTTTGGGACAGACATGGTACCTCGTGCTTTGAATCACCATTTATGCTCAGTCTTTGTCATTCCTTTGGATTATCTAGTGCAGGATGTTTCACTAATTATTCCCCCTATTTAATTACAGCCCCTTTTTATTTCTGTGCCTGGACTATGAATTCCATACAGTAGAGAGAACTAACCAAATCCATTGTAAGAAGATTTTACAAGCGAGGGATTAAAAAGAGGTTGAGCCCCTGGTGTTACTTTTCCCTTCTGTCCCCTGGAAGGAGGATATATCTGTGTAAATTGAAGCTATCTTTGGATCTTAGCCAAAAGGTTAATATTTTACACTGGACCTAATTAAGACCACTCCTTTAATTGTTCAAACTACTAGATCATATACTGAATACTTGAGTTGGACCAGTGATCAGTGTTTCATATGATCCTTGGTTTGCAAGAATTAGAAAAAATAACAGAACTAGTTACTATATAAAATCTATCACTCAATTAAAAATCACAGTTTCATGTTTTTTTTTTAAATTTCTCAAATTACAGGCAAATTCTTGCTTCTTTAAAATCACTGTCTTCATCTACATAGTTGGCTGATATCTTTGCATTGCTTATGTTTTGAATGCTGCACTTTAATTGGAATTAAAGTGTCTTTGATAATGTTCAAAGTTCTCAGTGTAGAAAAAAAGATTGCGTCTTTTGCTGACTCATTGTGTGATGATATTTTTTGACAAGATTTCAGAAAATCTCTTCCAAATCTATGACCTGACAGCTATGGTATAATTGACCAAAATCTTCAGAAAAAAATTCTCAGGTTTATAAATTACCATTGGGTTGCCTCATTAATTACATACACTTGTAGAACAAGACACGAAGACCGCCACCTCTGTGAGCTGTGTCATTAGAAGTCGATAACTTCTTGATTGTGTAAGACACTAACTTCTCAGTGTAAAAGCCATGCTTATTTCCCCTAAAAAACGTGAACTAAAATTTCTGTTGGTGATAATTATATCAGATCTGAAGCTCTATAGTTACCTGCCAAACACTTGTAATTGCGTGTTCGGCTGTTCAGAGAACTGCTTATTGCTGTTCACCTGGTGATTTTTATGCTCTGGCATTATCATCTCCATCTCTTTCATGACTGTATAACCAAACTTCTGTCTGCTAGAGTTCTAGCATCATCTCAGCAGTACCTGCAAAAATCCCTTCTCTCTAGGAATCGATTGCTAGCTTCACTTTCATGGTAAATCAATATGAGTCTCAAACCATCTGCAGCTCTGATTCACAGAGCCAGCTGCTGCCATCAGAAGCCAAACTGGAATTTCACCACAGTAGCAAGTTCTACATATCAGGGGCCATTAGCTGTGCTTTTTAAAGATGGTTGTTTTCCTGCTCTGTGTGGGTAGGACGTTAGGCTGCAAGTTACTCCCTTTTCCAGGGAAGTAATTGGAACAATTCTTCATTGGTACCAGCACACATCACTCTTACTAAAGCCAGATAGATGGCGATGAAGCCCTTATGCCCCTGAAGTGACAGAACAATACCAGTGTGTAATAGGGAAGTGAACTAGAAGTAATTTCTGTCTGTTGCAGACTTCTGAATACATACGTTACATTCATCTCTCCCCACCCCCCACTGTATTGTCTGGGGAATTCAGTCTTCTGTTTCTTTTATTAGCATTAAAACCAAACAGAAATAAGGAGATAGTTGTGAAACCATCTGCAAAACAGCCAGCCCCCAAGAATGAGAAAGGGAGACACTGTTTTTCCAGTCCTGATCTCTGTAAATCAAAACAGACATGAACACAATTCACGTTTATCACAACCCAAAGTTGGATTGTTGCTTCTAACCAGGGGGAAAAATTCTGAGAGGAACTTAACACCGCCTCACTTGCCCCGATGTCAGGGAAGGTTCAGCACTGTGTGGGATGAGACCTTGGCTTGCCAGGACTCCCTTGTAAACAAAGCTGTGCAGTAGCAGGTCGGTGTACCTCTGGGATATCAGTGGGCAGAACAAAGAGACAGAAGCTAGAGAACACTTTAAATATGATACTTGCCCACTTTTCAAAGTTGGCTCAAATCTTCTTCCCCAACTTGATTCAAACTGTGAAGGAAACTAAACATCTGAACCATTTAAATGCTCAGGAAAGCTAAATATCCTAACATTACATGATTTAACAATGTTTTCACAGACCAAGCTTTCTGTGAAGAATGCTTCCATCGACCTAGTTACTGTTGCGGAGGGAGGTAGTGTTCCTACACCGATGGGGGAAAAAAACCTTCCACATTAGTTTAGGCTGTGTCTACACTACGAGGTTATACCGGAATAATTACAGTCCTGGGGTTGTACCAATATAGCCCCATAGTGTAGACATGGCCTTAATATTGCAGAGGAATGTCTTCAGGGGTTGTATATGCAAGTAGGGGAGCAATCTAAATGGATTCAGGATATATTGATACCCTGACAACTTATCTGGTCCTTGGATAGTACAGTGCCTAGGGCAGAAGGGCCTTTCTGAAGGGGAAGATCTATGCTTGTCAGTTGTCACTTTAGAGCTTGCCACTTTAGAGGCAGGAGAGAACTCTGAGAAGTGCTTACAAACATTGCAATTGTTATAACATGCTGTGTGCATAGCATGTTGATCTACTAACCAGCATATCTATCCAAATACTAAATATATACATGGGGGCCGGATCTACTGAAATGGCCAAAGCGCACAGGTCAGAGGTTGGTGTGGAAAGGAGGCCTGATTGTAGTGCTGTATGACTTTCTATCCCCTAGCCCTCTGTGTTAGAGCAGACCTCAAACTGCTCTAACAAACTTGAGCCTTGTTGCAGTGTCCACAAGAGACCAAAAACCAAGCCCAGAATCATCAGCCATATTCCCTTTTCTCCGGCCACAGCCCTCCATCAACACTACACTACCTCAGAATCATCCCTACGCTCAAGTGATCCTTCTGGGCCAAGTAAGCCACCCTCATGGGAGGCTTATGCTGGCAGTGCAGGCAAAGAAGCCCCCTCAGTCCTGAAGATTTGGCCCATTGTTTGTGGACTTAAGCCCACATACTGTCAGCTCCCTTAGTGGAAATTCCCGCCTATTAGAAGAAATGTCTGTTCTCCAAACCCATTTGTACTGACTCAATACAAATGTGGTCTCTTAGGAAACAGTTTACTGATTGATATTATTTGCCATCTGAAAAACTCTTTTCCGGGGTCAAGCTGACCTTGATGTCAGTGGAGTCTGTGCTATTTCTAATATTGACTTTGAAATACAGCCAGCAGGAGAAAGCAGAACTTGCTGTGAATTTTCAGTACGCACAATTATGTGGGTTTTATAATTAAAATGAGTGTTCTGTAGCTTGAGGGCCTTTTGCTGTCAATTTTCTACATTTGTATGGCTGACTTGTAACATGGGCAAAGGGGGGTCTCTAAGTGCAACAGATGCTATAACTAGAGAATTGTTTCTATGCTTTTCAGTCTAGCTGTGTGTATTTTTATTTACAATTACTGCATGGGAAACTGTCTCATATTGAAACCCTAGCTAATTTTTTGGTAATATAGAATGCATTAAACACATCATCTCAGGCGATTTATTGTAATTATACTGGTTAGAGTGGTAAGGGGGAAGTCTTGCTTGCTTGTAAAACAACAACATTGCGGTAAAGAAAGAGATGGCAGCTAGTGGACGTATCTGCCTCAACAGCCATAAAACATCTTTTCCATCCTATGGACAATGTGTCAGTCCTATGCAGATATCCCGTTTGCCTCTTTTGAGCACGGTTTCTGTATAATGCATCTTTGGATAGTATAATGGTTTGCACTCTTTAATAAATAAATGATTGACCATCTGTTTTAAATTCTTGTGTTCAGTGATTGAAGTTTAATTACTGAGTATCCTTAATGCCATGTAAAGAGATACTGTGCGAAAAAAGTGTAATCCTGGAGCCATTTGTGTTGCACATTACCCAGTCCTGTAGTCAGTGCCAGTTAGACAACATGGTCAGAGAGGTTAGCCTCCCTGACTCATAACAATGGTATTGTTGGCTGGGTGGGGGAGGACATTGGCTGCAGAGATGAGCTGGGGTTAAAATTTACCTGTATCTTTGGTAGCATGAACCTTCTCACGTTTTAGCAGCTGTGAATGCTGGCAGCAACATGCCCAGCTGCTGCTGTGATTCATCTCTGCCTAATATTAGGGAAGGAGGTGAGCTCTCCTGGGCTACATATGATCAGTACAGACTTGGAAGTGTAACTGTCCAGTAGATCTTAGCTTTGGAAACAGTAACAAAGAGGAGCTCTGAAAGACCTGCTTTCAATCAGTCTTGTACTGCATCTTGAAGATGGCCAGGCCTGGTCTTCAGTAGGCTGCAGCCAGGAGCAATTGCCAGAGATCAGCTGTGGCCTAAGTCAGCCCTGCCCGTGGAGTGATCCATTCACCTAAAATTGCCACAGAAGCACATAGAGGGAGGAGTGGGTCTCTCAGTCTTGGTCCCTTCCTGGAGTGCTATACCCGGTCCCCGCACAAATATTTCCCGTTGGCAACGGCAGACGTATGGAGGTAGCATGGTCCAGTAGGTAAGGCACCAGACAGGAGACTTGGATTCTGTTCCTGCCACTGACCTGCGGTGTGATCTTGAGCATGTGACTCATTTTCTCCAGAAGTAAGAGAGCGATCTTGGTGCCTATTTCAACTTGAGATCTACAGTGGAGAAGTGCTGTTTAGATGCCAACTATCTCAGCAACTGCAGCTGTTAGCAGGACGCTAATTGACTTAAAAAAGTGATGCTTACTAGTAAACTAAAGCCCTGATCTCAGAAGGAAGGAAGGGAAAGAGGTGTGGGTGCATAGCACCTCTAAGGATAAGACCCAGACTTGTTTGCTACTGTAACAGTGCCACTTCATAAAGTGGGTTCAAGATAAAGGATTTTTACATTTTGGGTTGTTTCCAGTCCTATTTCAATGTGATCTCCCTGTGAAATTGCACATAGCATTCCGGGGCCTTCTTTCCCTTCTCAGGTTAAAACACCAAAGGCTGTTACCAACCTGATCCTGAAGCTTTGATTAGGTGATATTCTGTTTTGCTATGGCAGGCTGTCCAGCTGATAGGATAGAGATTGTGGATATTGTTTTAGGGCTTGTCTACATTTGAAACGCTACAGTGGCACAGCTGCTGCACTTCAGTGTAGACACAACCCACGCCAATGGGAGGGGTTCTCCCTTTGGCACAGGTAATCCACCTCCCCAAGAGGCAGTAGCTAGATTGACAGAAGAATTCTTTCATCAGCCTAGCACTGTCTGTAGGGAGAGTTAGGATGGCATAGCTACATCTCTCGGCTATGGATTTTTCATCCATCCTTGAGCTATGCTGATGTAAGTTCCCAGTGTAGGCCAGCCCTTAGGCCTGGTCTATACTAGGAAATTAGGTCAGTATAACTACGTTGCCCGGGGGGGTGAAAAATACACCCCCCTGAGCAACACAGTTAAACCGCCCTAATCCCCGATGTAGACAGCACTCAGTCGCCAGGAGATTTCTAGCTACGGCCTCTTGGGGAGGTGGATTACCTGTGCCAACAGGAGACCCCCCCCTCCTGGGCCACTGGAGGGGTTTGTGTAGACAAGCCCGTAATGAATAGAAATGTAGGGAAGACCATATTCTGAAAGTGAGGCTGGGCTGGGCAGAATCCACCAGCACTAGAGATGAAAGATGCTGCAATATACAGTGGGACAGGGCACAGTACAGCCATCAGTTTTACCACCTAGAGAACTTGAGTGAGGGTCTGGCCCTCATTTGTCTGTAGAAAAATAGGCCTTTCTATGCTGATCCACAAAGAAGTGCAGGGAGTGGGACTCTGTAAAAGTCCCACTGGAAAACAGGATCTAGAAGTGATGAGAGCTAGCATGGGGCTAGTGCGAGGTTCGGCAATAATTTTTGCAGGGGGGCCACTCCACGAATTTTGGTAAATTGTCATGGGCTGCACATTTCTACTACATTAATGGAAGGGGTGTGGGGTCTGGGAGGGAGTTTGGTGTAGGAGGTGGCTCCGGGCTGGGGCAGGGGATGGGGGTGCAGGGTCCGGGAGGAAGTTTGAGTGCAGGAGGCGGTTCTGACCTGGGGCAGGGGGTTGGGGTGTGGGAGGGGGTGCGAGGTGCAGGTTCCGACCAGAAGGCACTTACCACAGGCAGCTCCCAGCCGGCGGCGCAGCAGGGCTCAGGCAGGCTGCCTGCATGCTGTGGCCCCACGCTGCCCCCAGAAACACCTGCGGACAGCTGCTGCTGGCACATCTCTGTGCGCCCCTTGGGGAAAAGGGGGCAGCGGGTCTCCGTGCGCTGCCCATGCATGCACGCATGCACTCTCCCCGCAGCACCCATTGGCAGGTTTCTGTGAGGATGGTCCTGGGGGCGGGGGCAGCACGCGGAGCCGCTTCCCTCCCCCCATGCCAGGGGCACGCAGAGATGTGCCAGCAGTAACTGGCCACTTCTGGGAGCAGCATGGGGCCATGGCAGGCAGGCAGCCTGCCTGAGCGACCCACTGCACCATGGGACTTTTAGCAGCCTGGACTCGGAGATCGCAAGGGGGCAGAGGAGGCCAGACAGAAATGTTAGACAGGCTGGAATTTGCCCACCCCCTGGCCTAGTGCTTTCTTTGGACAAAGTGCCATACAAACCTGAATTGATCCTCATAACCACTCTAGCCTCCAGAAAAATCTCATCTGCTTCCCTAAAACAAGGGCTGCAGTTGGGGCAAAGAAGAGACACGGCTAGTCAAAGACTACCTGTTATACCAATAAAATAAAAACCAGCAGGATCTTATTAAAGGGGAAAAGGCAAAATGCCACATTTATTGTGAATACAGAAAGAATCCTAGTAAGCAGTTAGTTATAGCTATAACATTCCATTCAATTTCATATTTATTCACACATTCATTCATTCACACACACACACAGAGGTTCTGCAAGGTTGTTATCATAGTTACCAGCCTTAGAGTTGCTCATGCCAAGCCACTGGCCAGGTGGCCTGGACATGAGGAGGGAGCAGGGCCTTGTCAGATGCTCATCTGATGCTCCTGGAAGTTGGTTTGCAGAATCAGACCCCAAAGTTCTCACTTTCTAGAGTCCATTTGTATAGGAATTTTTTCCTATGCCAGTCTATGAGAATTGCTTCATCATGCTGTTGCTGAATCAATCAGCAGATGGCACAGTCCTGACGGCTCTGTGCTGCCAGATGTTATCTTGTTCTTTGGTTCTCCCATCCTTGAGGCTGTTGGGTGGATTCCAGTCTGCCCTCCGGGGGTCCTCTGGTTATTTCTACTTGATGCCTTCTTCAGCTGATGGACAGTGGATTCTTAGGCTGGCATCTCCCTGATCATTCAGTTATTATCCACACCAAGCGTCCATCCACATACATCTTCTATCTCTATTTTAATCACAATTGTTAACAAAGCGAGATGAATACAACAAAAGGGCGGGGAGTCTCTGGGTGCTGTTTCTCTTGTTACAGAGTATTGCTTTGAGTCTCTCTCTGTGTGAGTAGTTGTTGTTACAAAGAATTGTTTTGAGAACAGACTCTGTCTTAGAATGTACTAACACAATTAGCAGCTTGCAAGTTTCACACAGAGAGGGAGAGAAACAGTACCAAAACCCAAGAGACCTCTTAATTAGTAATACCCTGGAATTTAAACTATGGGGAATCAAACTCATTTGTGATTTTAATACAGAACTTCTTTAATATGATCCAACATAATCAGGGAGTTGGTGGCAGTTGTATGGTTAGAGCAGGGGCCTGCCTGCCTCATAGTTCCGGGCTCATTCTCTTAGAGCTCAGCAAGTTGTCCAAGAATATCTGTACGCTACAAAAAACCCTGTGGCCGTGAGTCTCAGAGCCTGGGTCAACTGATTCTGGCTCACAAGGCTAAAACTAGCCACATAGCGGGCTGGAGCCTGAGCTCTGAAAACTGGTGATAGGGGTGGCTCTCAGAGGCGGGGCTCCAGCCTGAGCTGGAACGTCCCCACTGCTATTTTTAACCCTGTAGCACATGCCCGAGTCAGTTGACCTAGGCACTGAGACTCACTGGGGTCTTTGCCGTGTAGATGTGCCCTAAATGACCCAGAGTGTAATATTGGTCAGCCTCTGACAATCTCCTATAGAAGGTGGTAAATACAAGTTCTGCCAGGGGAAGCAGCTGGGAAAGCAACCTCCCAAACTGATCTAGTAGTTCCAGCAAACTAGGACTGTGACAGCTCCGCACAATCCATAGGATAATCCAGTTAGCCAGAGATCATGTTAACAAGCCGCTGAAACCAGAACGTAGAGCAGCAACCTAAATAATAATTGTGTTTGTAGGACTTTTGTACTCCAATGCCTTTGAGACACTCCGCACAAAGAAACCCCAGCCTGGAACATAAGTGAACCTGCTTGGGTTTTTTTGTTTGTTTTTTTTTTCCTGTATTAGTGATGTTGTGGCAAGAGCTTTGGTAAATAGCATTATAAAGCCCAGTTTAAAGGGGGCTCAGCTGGGAGCACTGAGAATAGCCTGCTAAACCAGGATTCTGTCTTTCTTCAAAGTGCACATTTGAACAATGAGGATAATTAACCATTGGAACAACTTACCTAGGAATATGATGGATTCTCCAGTTCTTGAAATAGTTAATTCAAGTTTGAATGTCTTAAAAAAATACAGTTATGCTCCATTTTGATGCCTAGTAACTGAACTTGATGCAGGCATAACTGGGTGAACTCCTCTGGCCTGTGTTATCCAGGAAGTCACAGAGATGATCATAATGGTCCCTTCTGGCCTTAAAATCTACAAACCTAACAGCCCTGGGCTGGCTGATGGTATGCAAGGTTCAAAGCTCCTGGA